TTCAGCACAAAAGACCACGATTCTACTCATGCAGTGCTCGTTCTTGTATAAGAATAAGACCAGGGTGAATGTCGGTTAAACAAGCCAGCGTACTCCATCACATCTTTGTTGTGAGATGAGGGGGAGAGGGTGCCTTTTACCGGTCTGTAATAAACAAGAAAAGCTGTATGATGATCATTCGACATTGAAGCTCGGTATTTCTCTTTGTAATAGCTGACTAAGAAAGGGCGTTTAATGCACTGTTAATTCAGAAAGAGAAGACACTATCCCATTTGTCGATCGTAAGAAATAAGGTCATTGTTAATCCAGCGCAGCATGTGGCTTATGTAAGTAGACATACGATTATTATGTTTCTTTGAGAGACGACGACGTATGGCCTCACTGTGAGCAATGGGGGCACCCCGGGCGTCCATTCCGGATCGACCGCTGTGGGCACGACCCCCAATGTAAACAAGTGCGACTATCAGAGCCCCAGTGTTGTAAAAGGGTAGCCTATGCAGAAAATGCTGCGATTGACAGATACATGCCGTATACGCATCGGCACAATCCGAGTAGGCCCGATTGTTGCTGAATGTATAAAATCAAGACACGATGTTTGACGAAATAAAAATCCGCATTTATTTTTTAAAGCCTATTGAACGCCGAATGTAAATTAACAGGCAAAAGAAGGAATCCTTCATGTTTATTGGTGGCAAAAAATGAAACAAACAAGAAATTATTATTCGATGGTGATGTATTTCATACGGGTATCACTGTTGTTTTTTGGACATCAAGATTGCAGTGTTTCGGCGACTGTTCAGCCTAGTAACGTTTTGATAACCTTTTTTTTTTGTCAAATCCAGTTTTCAAGTGTATACTTTATTTTGCCCGGTATAAACCAAAGACACAATATTGGGCGATTGCTAATCATGACACAGCATTTGGCGATTGTGGCGACCGTGAATATTCAAATGGAACTTCAGTAGCCGATGTCTTCTCATATAGGCAGAGTGGCGGTCGGGTAGCCCAGTGGTTAAAGCGTTCGCTCGTCACGCCGAAGACCCGGGTTCAATTCCCGACATGAGTACAAATGTGTGAAGCCCATTTCTGGTGTCCCCCGCCGTGATATTGCTGGAATATTGCTAAAAGAGGCGTAAAACCATACTCACTCACTCACTCATTTCGGCAGATATACGACTTATGGTTCAGAGCGGGTATCCAATGGCAGTTGTCCCATGTCCGTATATTACTCAACGGCGACAGTTCCACGCAGTCACACACACATGTCAATATAAGGAAAGGAATATGTCTGGAATGTGTCAAGATAACAGAGAATTGTATACTGCATTATCTGGCACACCCATTCCAAGTGAGTGAGTGAGTGAATATGGTTTTACGCCGCTTTTAGCAATATTCCAGCAATATCACGGCGGGGGACACCAGAAATGGGCTTCACACATTATACCCATGTCGGGAATCGAACCCGGGTCTTCGGCGTGACGAGCGAACGCTTTAACCACTAGGCTACCAGACCGCCCCCATTTCAAGTGACATCGCTCGGTTTAATAAGTTTCCAGATTTATAAAGTATATGCAATGTCCTGTTATACATATATACTAACGAAAACAGTAACTGTGCTTCATAAGTTTCAAAAAACAAAAATTATTCTGAATTTCAGTAATGCATCTTTTCATACATGTTCATTTTAAGGTCGTGATTCACAGTTTGCACGTGCATGTTAATGCACGGCGCAGAATTGGAATGTTTGCGTGATTGTTGGGTGCATGATATTCACACACGTATTTTTTTAATGTGTTCAGCACACAATGATTGTTTAGCTATCAGGTGTTCATAACCCCCCCCCCCCCCCCCCCCCCCCCCCCACCACCACCACCACCACCCCTCCTCCAGACTGTTTTCCATCACCTGGTGTCTTTAATGCGTCGCCGCTGCCTCGCCTGTATTGGTGGTCACACCTGATATTGACATTGTAAATTGAGTTGTTACACCCCCACCCCCGCTTTTAGGGCGTGTCGCTTAGTCACCTGTAGCAGGGTTACTTTTTTCCGTCAGTATATATACTACTCAAAAGAAGTTAAAGAACTCCCGATTCTTTCATACTATCGCAGATGCCATAACATATAGTCATATGAAAACTTTAACTTCTTTTGAGCAGTATATATGGTATATATTCCAATCAGTAATAGTCGGGAAAGCTGGTTTTCCAGACAAGCTTGATTTTACAGTACCTCGGCATTTAAAGCATTGACGCGCAGCTGAGTGAGTGAGTGAGTGCGTGAGGGTGAATTATTTGTACCCCGCAGTCAGTAAAATGTCACCTAGGTATCCATGCCGTCTTTAAGTCATCGTTACATAGCCAGATATTTTGTTTGTACGAAGGGAGATAAATATAAACACCAACATTGTCATTGATTTTGAATCTGTATGTTATCGTTTACCGCGCTGAGATACCAGATCATGCATGTATGTGTATATGTACACCGTATATTTTTAATAATATCGTCAAAATGAACAACTCTGTGCAAATTTGTTTGTTGTTGTTAAACGCCGCACTCAGCAATATGCCAACTATATAACAGCGGTCTGAAAATAATCCAGTCTGGACCGGTGATTGACATCATGAGCATCGATCCACGCAATTGGGATGCGATGACATGCATCAGCCAAGTCAGCGAACCCGACCACCCGATCCCGTCAGTCGCCTCTTACGACAAGCATAGAACACCTATTCTACACCGGATCTTCACGGGTCGTGCAAATTTGTGTACTCGTAAACAAGCATGAACGGGGTATTTGGGACACCAATCCCACCAAATTGTTGTGCTCCCCACCCTATTCTCGCTAAAGAGGTAAGAGTTTCCAAGAATAAATCATTATTCATAAGCTATGTGGATATGCAAAGAGTGATTTTTTACTCAGTTATATACAGCTCATGGTATAAATTAGTGTATGCGTCACATGACAGTCTATACGTAGTGTGGGGCACGGGTGGCTCAGTCGCCTGAGGCGCCGCGATTCGCTGTGCAGAGTTGCGTCCCTTGGGCACACCAGAAACCTTTTTTTTGTGGGTTCGAATCCCGGTTCGCCCCGATTATGTTCCTAGGTTTGTCAGCACCAAACCCGTGCTCGTGGGTTTCACCGAAGTGGTAAACGTCTGAGACCTGCATCAGTTCGGGCTTTCCTCCCACATCAAACTGACACGCCGTGATATGACTGGAATACTGTTAAAAGCGGCGTTAAACCCAACTCACTCACTAATGGGCTTGTCACATTTCACATTTCACGCATACACGTCGCAATATAAGTGCAATAATTTTGATCGCGACGTTAAAACCCAATTCACCTTACCTCACCTACGGTCGTACGACAAAAAGGGGCGGTCGGGTAGCCTAGGGGTTAAAGCGTTCGCTCGTCACGCCGAAGATCGATTCCCGACATGGGTACAATGTGTAAAGCCTATTTCTGGTATCCCCCGCCGTGATATTGCTGGAATATTGACAAAAGCGGCGTAAAACCATACTCACTCGTACGACAAAAATGGGGCCCAGTTGGCAACAATGGCACTCATTGTTTCACGACGTTGTGTGCTATACCGGGCCGGCCTATGTATGGACGAGTCAGTCAAACCAGTGATTGATAACATGAGCCAAATTACACATTGAATCCCGCTGATCATTTTAATCGTCTGTGACAAACAGTTGCTACTGGGAACTATTCGGTCCCGACATCCAATGGACTATAGCCCCGTGAAGATTCCGGGGTAGAATAGGTCTTCAGCAACCCATGCTTGCTGTAAAAGGTGGCTATGCTTGTCGCAAAAGGCGACTAACGGGATCGGGTGGTCAGGCTCGTTGACTTGATGATGCTTGTCATCGATCCCAATTGCGTGGATCGATGCTCATGATATCAAACACTGGATTGACTGGTCCAGACTCGATTATTTACAGACCGCCGTCATATAGCTGGAATATTGCTGAGTGCGGCGTTAAACAACAAACAAACATACAACCATTGCCACCTTTTGACCGATGGGTGAATGTAATCAGTCCGCAATATCACGGCGACCTCTAAATAATCACGCACCAGGACCATTTTCCTGTTGCCAGTGATGATAATTCTGTTGTACTCGGCAAACCAGTACTGTGTCGCCGGATACTTAACGACATTCCTTCACTGTGCCATGTGGCCGCAGAGGATGATCAGGCAACATACTTCAGTGATGTATATATTGGTCTATGTCGTTGCATTCCCCAGGATTTGAATTAACTTTCCGTCTCAGACTCATCGTTAACCTTTTGTGTGACATGGGGCGGAAAGTCATGTCACAGCTCCAACGTTTCTAAGGTGAGGTTGGTTGGTTGGCTTGTTGTTTAACGCCGCACTCAGCAGTATTCCAGCTATATGACGGCGGTCTGTAAATAATCGAGTCTGGGCCAGACAATCCAGTGATTAATATCATGAGCATCGATCCACGCATTTGGGATCGATGACATGCATCAACCAAGTCAGCGAGCCTGACCACCCGATCCCGTTAGTCGCCTTTTACGACAAGCATAGTCACCTTTTTCGGCAAGTATGGCTTGCTGAAGACCTATTCTATCCCGGAATCTCTAAGGTGGGGTGTTTCAGAGCATAGAATTCGACGTTCTTAGTATACTACCTAAAACGTCACGCCCACCCGATGTCACAGAGTCTGGGTACTCTATCCCCGGTGTAGGTACACAGGGTGGCATTTGGAACAAGGGGTTGCAGTAAGTATGGTTTAACGCCGCTTTTAGCAATATTCCAGAAATACCGCGGCGGGGGACACCATAAATGGGCTTCACACGTTGTACCCATGTCGGGAATCGAACCCGGGTCTTCGGCGTGGCGTTCAAACGCTTTATCCACAAGGCTACCCGACCGCCCCACAAAGGGTTGGAAACAAATATTTGTTTTCCTAACCGTGAAGATGAAGAACAAAGTCTATCCTTTGCTGGTAAATACGACAGTCACGTGAATTAGGTTCAATGTTATATTTTATTCATCAACAGTTCCTTTATGTACACACAATACAATCCACAGGACAAGTTTATGCAGTTCTTCACTCGTAACAAAATGGGAGGACTGTCGTCCAACTTGAAACATTCTTCCATACAATCAGAAACAACTGAGTAACCATTGTCTTAACACCCTTCTTACATTCATCAACGAGCTGAGGTAACAAACCTCTTCGGTCAACTTCGGTAGAACCCGACATTCGCGAGGAAACCATACACACCATTCGAGACTTCACTGTGTGAATATTATTAACAGCTGTGAGACAGCAGAATCGGCGAAGTTCGTTATTTACAACGATAATTGTCAAGGAGACAAACAAACTTTAACAAGTCAAACTATTGACCCAAGAAAGCACTATGCACAGACTTATTACAAAGCAATAAACCAGTTAACAAGTTCGTGTAATTAATAATTTGGAAATCAGAAACAAAAATCGTGTCCCTGGTGCTAGACCCTCAACTATAAAATCTATATTTTACATTATCACAATAATCAGCCAAGGGTGGACCACTCAGGAACAGGACTTCGTTGAAAATGAGAGTTATCTCCCTTTACGGAGGAACAATTTGAAACATTTCATAAATAATTTTTAATGTAATATTACCAATTGTTGTGCATGTCCTGTCCAATGGAGCAAAATCGTGGCCAATTATTCTATTGCATGTGCACACCTAGCTTGTCAGGACTATATTCACAATTATTTATAAATGAGTTGGCAAAATGCTAGTAAAACTTATCACAGTGTTTTATGTCTTGAAAGACCCTTTCTATCGGACGCATCACAATACTGCAGTACACTTGTCGTTTCTTTTAGTCCTTAACAAAATGAATAATGATCATTTATGAACCCTAAAAGAATTTTCAAGAAAGAAATTCCTACGATGAACTTGGCAGTGATAATAGTTTAGGAACTTGTAAAACATAATTAAGTATATTAGCATGATCGTGTACAGTATTGTTAACGCCCAATCAAATTGCAGTTTCCCAATTTGCCCGTATCCTGGACATGCGCAGACACATTACACGGTCGCTATTTCATGGAAATCACTTGAAATCGATCATATGACCGACCTACACAAACGATCAATCAAAAAAACTCGTTACTATTAGCTTAGGGTAGTACGTTTAAAATAACATTTCATTTTTCGGACCAAATCCACAGCAAGAAAATATGCGGAATTCCACACGAAAAATCACGACCGCTATACAATCGATACCACAAATAATATTAACGTATTTCCTTCTCTTAGCAATCACGAGACATCGGTGTTGAATTATGTAAACTAACAAGATTACAGAGGGTGAGGTAGAATTAGAGTTTAAGTTAATTTAATTTAATAAGTTTAATAAGGAGAGATACCCAAGTCTAACACAGAGGTAGAGTAAGAAGTGTTTATATTAAATCATAGAATTTGCAGGTATCCGGCATCAGGTTATGGGACCTTTATTGCATTGATGGCTGCTGTTGACGGTGTCACTCCATTTGTCTCTCACAATATTGCTCAATAGTTCGTATTAGTTGATCGATACTTGAATAATAGTATCACAATATTAGCAAATCAAACCATAGTGATCGAATATAACACACTTAAGTCGTCGAACAGTCGGATAAGTCAAAATCAGTAATATATAAATATTAAATTATGTACTTTGCTCATATTCGAGGCAATGGTTGTGCTTAGTCTGTTGCAAATGACGATGAATATGATGAAACGGTAGCGGGTACATATGACTCGTATAAATAAACAACTCGGGTCGAGGCAGTGCGACTTGACGTCACTTGTCACGTGTTGCCAAGTCACATGATCATGTGTCTTCTGGCAATGTCATAAATAAGGCGACGGCGTCACGTGATAGTGTCACATGACATGAGATGTCGCTGGCAGTGTCCGTACTTATGGCAGGCTGAGGCGAGAATTGGTAGCAAAGACGTCACGAAGTCGCGTATCACATCACTTGCGAAGTCATGGGCGACGTGGCAGGTCGTCACCAGGTTCCCGGGAGGTTCCTGTTGGGGGAGCACTGGCTTATTGCGGTGGGGGTTGCAGTCCTGAACCGCTTAGGTTGGGGGCGGGGAATCACCCAGACATCGGATTCCGACTTTGCTCAACAACAAACGCCGGGTTGGTCATATAAATTTATGTCCCTCACGTCTGTGGGTGTCGTCGGCTGGCCATTTAACGGGTCGGACTTTGTCGGAGTTTCTGGGGCTTCTTGAACCGTAGACAAATTATTTGCAAAACACTGCTCTATTTGCTCTTGACAATACCGCAAACAATCCTGAAAGACAAAAACACAAAGCATAAGTTCCTTTAACGTCTTTCGTTAAAAAAATGTTACGTCAACTTTAATATACAAAGACCGTTAATTCAAGACCGTGCATTTAATCAATCAAGGCATGATGGCATTTAGCGTTATCATTGAACTAACTTCCCTTGATAATGCCTCATTGGTTAGTGTCACGACCCATCACAAGGGGACTGACCCTCAATTAACGCCATGTAACATAAAAGACCCTTTGTTCCTTGGTCATATACCCCGGGGGGACGTTCCCGAAACTCCCGGGGGGTGATGAAATCACTTCCCATGGCCTCGGTTAAGACCCAATTCACCACAAACAAGTCATTACATCTGAGCAACAGGCAGGATTTGCTTAATTCCCAACAGGTCCCCTGTATAAGAGATTAACGGACTAATATTGTTACACTTACCACTTCTATGCCTGTTATTAGGACGAGTTTTTCTAAGAATTTCACATCTTGTGGTTCTGACGCACTGAACAGGCCGTGAACTGCAGCGCCCAAGCTCCCGGCGGCGATCATTGATGGGGGGTACATCATAAATTTGCAATCTGTGAAAAAAAAATTAAGAAATTAATTGACAATAAATCGTGTATCTTAGGATTACGGTTTGTGGAATGTCTTGATGACTAATTCGAAAATTCGATAAAAGCATTTAACTTCCAAGTCATCCTTCCCGATAAAACCTTCTATCAATCTAAAACCAGATCGCTATTCTGTATGCAGTGATTTCAGGTTTTTAAGTTTAAAGATTATTTGGATAAATATTTCCTGTACATTTTCATATGGGAAAAGGCTGAACGAAAATAAGTTACAAAATAATATTTCTTCCATCATTAAGTGTAACGGCAACATTTCGTGCATTGAACTTTCAGGCATTTATAACCTTCATTTAACTTCTTGTAACACAAAATGTTACAAATAAGTTACAGTGTTACATGTTACGCCCTTGGCGAAATCGGCCAGATTATGCGAAACATAGTTCCAAAAATGACGTCATGGTCATTGTTCTCCCAAACACATGCTATCAGACACCTCTGTATGTACATTTCCAAACAGCTGAGCTAAGCAAGTGCGCACCTAACTCCCACACATAATCCTGTAGGCATTAAGTTCGATACTATTCACTTGGAAAAATTCTTGACACAAGTTTTAACACCCTTGACGGGCGGAATGCAACAACGGCCCTTGACACGTCATAGCGAGGACAACTTAAGCTGGTCGTGTTGCCGCAAGTATATCACTGGGACTCGACTTTTAATTAGAAGGAAACAATTGTCAAATTAATGTAGAGTTCCCGTGGTTTGCGCCACTGAGCAGTCGTTAGGTCTCAGCTTGGCAAGGAAGTCACTGAGAAACACGACCCGCTAGACTTTTTATGACCAATGTATCCTGCTCTATTGGGACATCTCATCAATCTTGAGAATCTGTTAGCTCCGGTGCATGTATGGCACAATTAAAAATTCCGATTTCAATAGATCTTTTCCCCAGTAGAACCAGCGCAAACTCAATTTAAGGTGTTTCACATTTCGTCGCGTAGGTGTCTTTGCTATTTCCAAAAGTTGAAGAGGAAACGTCCTTAAATAGTAAACCAGTTTGGCAAAATAACCAACCTAAATAATTCATTCCAATCAATAACGCAATTATTGTTGGGTTACAGAATGAATCAATTATCAGTAGATTTATTACAGTGCGAGATGGTCGCTGTGAACAAATGGCCCAGGTGCAGAAAGACCTTGTAAGCGAGACCAACAGTTCTGGACGAAGGGAAACAACTCGTGTTGGCTTAGTGTGTGCGCCGACCACCTACAGTGGAATGTCGAGCATTTCGCCGACAGGTCACGCATCAGCCATCAAGGTCGCCACCTTGATACCGGCGAGGGACATACAAGTGGGGCCTTTGTTTGACAAGATTTAACTCACTGGCGATTCTGGACAGTGATACAAAGATGTGTTCCATTTTCACAAGATCTAGTCTCATTATGAAAAAAACAACCGTCATGTTGAACACGCATCATTTCCCCCTTCGCACTTGTTGACTAAACATTCGACTTAGACCATCCACTCCCAGTAGATTTTTTTGAGAGATTCAACTCGAAACGACGCTGATACTATCTGGTTACGTCAATGTGAGGAGTTCCTAGCACGTCAATGGACCTATTTTGCACGCTGCACGGTGGGAAAATTGTTCAGTCAACCAATCATGTTGCAGAATGCATGTGTCATGGATACGTCTTGAGATTTTTTTTTTCGACCGGTGAGATATGTTCAATTTCATTCACTACTTTGCCGTTACACATCACATGCGAAAATACATTTAAAAGTTGGAGAAAAAAAAGTTGTTGATAGAAATGTTTTTTACCTGTAGCACATAATGCGATAAAGGCCTGGGCGTGCCTCTTGATGATTCCCGATTTTTCCTTGTCGGGAATGAGTCGGGAGAGAAGCTGGTCCAGGAAGTCGTGTGGTGTCACCGCTGATAAGTCCCATTTCAGATGATAAAGAACTTGCAGTTCCATATCCTGTAATTAAGATTAACATACTTGATGAACAGGCCAAAATAAACAAAGGTTCAATATCGGCATGTTCAATTTGTATGCATGCATATAATTTAACAAACAGTGCAGTTTTATTTTCACTGATAGATAATCCCACTTGCTGAGTCCAAGTTAATGTTCTCATTGCAGATTAACAAATCATACGTTTTCTAATGCTAGATTCTATTCAATGTTTTCCCACCCTAAGTACACAAGAGTACATTCACAACTATTTCCCTTAATCGCTTTCACCAACACAGCAGAACGCATTGCCCCGGACACCGCCGCATCAACTATAGTGCCCGACCACACCCACTTTGAAATGACCGACAGTCCGAACATCAGCTGTTGGTATGACTTAGCCGCGAGGCAGATCGTTTCACACGCCGAGTCATCAAACGGCAGCAATGTACATATCACTAAAACAACAAGCGACACCACCCCGGCTGTCTTGCACAACAGCAACTATCAACACACACAAGCAGTCATACAAAAAGGAAAAAATGTATGTACCATTAATGATTGGAGACCAATCGAATTGTCAGTGTATATGACCAATTTCTCTGCAGTCAATGGGTTCGTTTCCTTCAGCTTGGAAGCAAGGAACATACACGCACTTCCTAATAGCTGGAGACTAGTCCTGTGAGTATCCTTCACGCACAAAAATCTGTCCAAGTAATTCATAGCTAATGGAAACACTTCCTCTTCGCACTGCTGTTCTTCACAAACCTGAAATAAGAAACGAACATTTTAGCCTAAAATTCAATAAATAATATTTCCTATCACATTTATAGACACTGAAGTTCAATTTATCATGTGAAATAAAAGCCGAACAACTGCGTGTATCTCATTTCACTGCCCCGTGTAAATGAGTGACCGTATTATTAAGGGTCCGTAATTCGAGGTAAGCCAACTATTTCCTGAGTGAAAGTTGTCACATCTAACTGCCAGCCTAAATCAGTCCTGAATAGACACTTATCCAAAGCATCCAAACTATAGACAAAAGAGCAGTGAAATTATCGACAATTAAGTCCTCATTTCAATGCAAATTTCTCAATACGACACAAAGCATGTGAAAAAAGTCAGTTAAAACTCTAAACTTGAGTCATGTGGTATGCTTATATCTGCCAACCGACAAAAGCCCGCCAGTTCACTAGCTGCGCAGCCCTGGGCAGCTCAAGTCGCATTCATCCAAAAATATCAATAAAATTTGTAAAAATTCCAAAGTCACCCGAAATTATTTTTTTCTTCGATAAAAAAAGAATGTTGAGTCGATATTGCAACTGGAATGCTTTGTAAGCCTAAAGGTTCTAAAAATTTCACGCAAATGCAAATTTGGTGCTGCTTATGCCATTTCCATGAAGAACAAGGCGATTTCAATGGAAAACTTGCGACTTTATCCCCATAAAAATTCTAACAAAGTAATTTAAGCTGAAAAAGTTATATATCGAATACCAAACTGTAGCAATTTTAATGCACATTCTGATGAATTTTCAAAAGTTCTTGATTGAGCAATATCGGCATTAAATATTTCCAACTTTTGTACAGTACCCCGCTTGCACATGAGGCCAGGGCGATCGCCATGTTAGAAAAGCTCGGTCTCTGAACAGCCCGACACAGGCGTAATAAAAATTCATATAAATGTTACTATCCAACATTTTGAATGACATTATGGACCAAAGGAAGGCTAAAGGTGTCCTCTACACGACTGCATCACTGTCAGTTGAAAATAATCCAATTTCGGTGAAATTTTGATCTCTGAAACGTACGAGGTAGCGTGACAAGTCAAGTATTACAATCAGCACCCACCTCCGACATCCACTGGGATACCATTTTCCGCATAGATGGTCGAATGTCCGTCTGCACACAAGTAAAGTAGGATATGTGGGGTACATATCTATCCTCAGTATCAAGCAAATTCTTCAACACTCTCTTGTCTTTGATTAAAACGGGATCTTCGTAGGCCCTTGGATTCGTGTCGCTCTCACAACACATCAGATCCATCGTACAGAAAATCGCTTCGCTTCGAAGCAGCTCGTCTTAATTCAACGACTCTGCTTTGCTTGGGCTGGTGGTAAATCCAAATAAGAATGAATCAATATTAATTTCTTGATGGGTGAGGTAGATATGTTTGGCCGGAGTGCTGTAGGTAGAAGTGCACAAGCCACCGGCCACCCCCAAATGACAGACTCGCTTGTATTTATAACCACATTTCAATGGGTCTCGGCTAAGCCGAGCTACAATGAGCGCATGCGCAGAACACCAAACTAAGGAGAATTCAGTTTCGATGTAACTTTGTGGCTCGATATCTTTCTACAAAATTCCAAATTTATCGGAATGTCCAACTTAGGAGTATTTTGAGATATAGTACTAGTTATTTAACTGGTAAAATTTGAAAAACAAGGCTTAATTATGCCTTAAAAGAACTTTCTTTCTCTTCCTCATGAATATTCATTAGGCATATTGAGGACACTGAACGCAGTGGAGCATTCACGATATTCAGTAAACAAAGAGCTAGCGGCAGGACGGGGAAGAGAAGAAAATCGGCTGCCTGTAGCTGGACTTATACCATTCTCATGGATGTATCTTAACTTTATATCTGTTTTCGAACGAGACAGGTTGGCCATTGTATTTTATATGAATTTTGTTCAGTATTTTTGGTAGCTGAAATTCCTTCTATCGAGAATCCCCGTCAAACATTCCATTTCAAGGGGCCAAGCGACAAGGTGACCGCTCATCCGCCTTTGTCTACCCTTCATTAAGCCTATTTAATGCCGTGCTAGCCAACTTATTTTTACATGTATAATTTTTCTGATTTTTTATCTTGTTTTTAGTGCACTTATTTGTGAAAAGTAACGTTTATTAAATGAAAACCAAGGGTAGTTTATTGTGTGGGGTCTATGCTAATTTATGGCTGCGGTGAGTCTGTAGTTGCCGAGCTCGGAATCTATATTTAGAACTGTCTGGTTTGTCCCGTTGCGAGCTTAGCCGCCGTTATGGGGATATCGACCAATCAGGTGCCTTTACGTTGACCTGTGACACGAATACTAGTGAATGAGTTTTCCCAGAGTGACTGAGTGCGATCGAAACTTGTCAATGAATGGAAAGATAAGCTCCGCCCTTTTCATCTAAAACCCCGCCCATTAGAATCGCGCTTGTCGAATAGAAACACGTTCGCTGCTTTGTCCGCGTGTAAACATAAGCGTATGAATGAAAGAATGAGAGTCGGACAGCGTTCCGATACAGGGAGCTGATATGCGATGGACCTCTGCCTTTCTTGTGCTGTGGCCATCATTGTTTACACTCAAGGCTTGGGTCGGGCACCTGGCCATGTCGCCACACAGTGCGGCGCAAGCAAAGCAACAGAACACACACAAAAATGCAATACATAGGTTTCATTTTTGTAATATATAAAACACATATTTTTCAGTTGGAGCATGAATTTATTTTGCTAGGGAAGTATGAAATAATATTCCAAATATATTTTCACACAGTCAAGCTAAATTATAAATGAACACATTTTCAGTGTTTAAAAAGACCGTAAATACTTGGAATACGGTGTTTCTTTTGAAGTGTGGATGACAATACCTGTGGAAAAACAACTAATATTTGACGAATAAAATTATTTCAGTACATGTAACATATTTCAAAAAAAGTGTTGAAAATATTGCTTCCATGCACGGTTGAAAGGTATATATCTACAGCAGTCATATTTCCCAGAACTGCATATTGATTATATATTAAATGTGTTTCTAAATATATGTATATGATAGCACTACCAAAGAAAACACAATCTGTGGGACCTCGCCCAATCAGGCAGACTGAGTTAGCATGTTCGTGTTCTGGCTACAGAAATGACATTGGGTAATACTGGTCACGTGACTGTAGATGCAGGGGTGACGGAAAAGCCTGGCGAGCACTTTATCTATCCACAGACGTGACAAATACAAGCGCTTTCCATTTCCACATTGCGATGCTTTGGTTCACTGTAAATCAAAGAAGTTATTCAGCAAAGCCTAATTTATCACTAATAATTATCCAAGCCCCTCTTTCATCACACACCTGACCATGTATACATTTGATATATTTTTTAATGAACAGTTGTGATATATCAACCACACAGTGAAGTCGGATCGGAGCATCATGGTGAGGCGAGTTTGGACGACTAGAGGGAAGTAACCCGGTCTGCCTCATCGCGCGGGGTGTGAGCCATAGTTATGGCCCCAAAGCATTTTCTGTTGCTAGGTGACAAGGGGGCACACTCTCTTTACACGCAGTTCAATCTCAGAGATCCGAGTTTCAGTGTTCGAGCCGCACGACTTGCTAAACATCAGACTTCCATATTCTCTATGTTGTTATTGTACTGTCATTACGTTTTTGGTGATTATTTGTCACAATAACAAAACAAATATCAACTTCCCAAAATACTGAAAGGTTTTTGAAAAGCGAATGGTCGTCAAACATGTTCAAACGCACTTTAGGGAGGAAAGTAAGATTTGGATTCGTTACACTGATCAAATATCAACCTGTTTTTGCGTCACGATGAGGGTCTTTGGACAAAACAACCAAAATAACAGCTAGATTTGACTGGACTGTCATTGATGAAACCACGGTCTTGTTTTTCAAGTCCGTGGTTTCATAATGACAATCGAATATAATAGTAATATCGGTCTAAAACTAGTTGCGAAGTCGAGACCGAACAAACACCATGAATCTGTTCCGCTGAGTTATCACAGCTCAGTGTGTGGCTGTGGTGCGACTCGCAAGGACGACAGTCATTACCCTAACATCACGTGAAACAGTCTCACGCTGACCATGACTATTGCCCTCCTTGCATGTTCACGTATAGTTTTGTTTGTTTGTTGTTTAACGCCGCACTCAGCAATATTTCAGCCATATGACGGCGGTCTGTAAATAAGCGAGTCTGGACCAGACAATCCATTGATTGACATCATGAACATCGATCCACGCAATTGGGATACGATGACATGCATCAACCTTGTCAGCGAGCCTGACCACCCGACCCCGTCAGTCGCCTCTTACAGACCGTAAATCATACTGAAGGTATTCGGTAACTATTTGGAATCGAACCTAGTCCTACTAGTGGTGAGCGGACACCTTAACATCGGGGCTACTTATACACCATGGGCCAACACAATTTCACCTCATATGACCAGACCACCATGTACAGATATAGTCGACTGCGTTTTCATCATGTCATGTTATTTATAATATTTAAATGTATGGAAGAAACTCGACACATAAAAATAATTCCGGATTTAAGTTGTGCTACGTGCACCTTATCTTCTCCCGCCAGACATGCAACTATCGGACAGAACCCGGAAGTCTGTGCATTGCTTCATAAACATTACTGCACCAGGTTTGATAACGGCTGCAATACATGTCTACAGAACATTCTGCACTGCGAACACTGCGCTAGACATGCAACGCTTTCATTGATTTTAGCAACACACATATTGAACAATCTGGGATATTTTTAGATAAACTACATAGAAACTGTGCCAAATTATATTCGTCTGTGTATCCCTCCTGCGATCTCATGACGTAAGGTTAGTTTCGGTGTGTGACATAATCTATAATGGCAGGCACATCGTCAGGTTTGAAAATGTTATACAAGCGATGAGTCGTGCTGCAGGAAATAGCAACACAACTGAAACTCGTTATAAACAGTATGAATGGGTCGACATGACCATTGACTTACAGGATATTGCTACGCAGAAAACTGGTATCACGTGTCATTACAAACCGAATGAGTTAATGTCGGGATCGGCAGGTCAGGCCCGCTGACTTGATGCATGTCATCGTCTCCCACTGGCGTGGACCTATGCTCATGATGTCAACCACTGGATTGTCTGGTTCGATTATTTACAGACCGCCGTCATATAGCTGGAATACTGCTCAGTTCGGTGTTAAACAACAAACAATAATGACGAGGAACATTTGCCTTGTATAAGAAGTAAATGAGTGCGGCGCTAAACAATAAACAAACAAACAAATAATGTTTTGTTGGTCAGCTATATTTCAGCTATATCACTGTGGTCTGTCAATAGCCGAGTCTGGGACAAACAAACCAGTGATTGAAAGAAAGAGCAACCATCCAGTGCACCGATGCACGATGAAACACCGCTGGTGACCACCCAATCCATTTTAGTCGACTGATACACATAACCAATCTACAACAATAATGTCTAATCGATTTCAATTCATATTGATTATAAAACTGGCTACTATCACACTGTTCTAAAAAAATCAGATCACCAGTTAAACTAATGCAATACACATCTTATGCAAGAACTAAAACAAATAAATCTCCCGTAAGTATAGCTATTACCAGTGGAATGTTTTAAAAGTTAAACATGGCCAATCTAATCTGCATGAAAAACATAAATTCTGATCCGATGGTATGTGAGTCTACATGTATAGGTACAAACATATACCTATATACGTATCTTATAATGTGAGTACATTGTACGGAAAACGATTCACGACAAATTTCCTCAAGACTGATGGCAGAATTATTTTAGGTATCTTCCAATGTAAACAGTGATTTTGGAATGTTGATACGTTAGTATCAATCTATAACCAAGCAGTTAGCTCTATCTTATCACAATCCAATCAAAGCCAATAATGAACGTCCATTCTGTAAACAAAACTATGACTTGATACATTATTCATCCAATAGGCAATACCTCTTTTTATATAGATCCATACTGTGAGGGCAATAAGACTGCTGTCGGTTTGAGCTGGGGAGTGGAATGCGACATGACCGCCTCGTATGGTGACATCACGGAAAGCTCGTGCAACGCGTTCCGACACGTTTTGCACGCCGGGTGATCGTACACTGCTTATCGATAGCTCAGCCCTAAACGGTTGATAAGTTGGTTAGGAATTCCTGGGTCACAAGCCCTGGATCGATATTGGTGTTCGATACCTTCTAATCATGTGTCACGTGACCTGTGCTTTTCTGGAGCCCGATTCCAGGTCAGCTTGTAGTGTAAGTAAAGTATGTCAACACGAAGTAGATCCCACACGCCTCAATATTGTATGTCACCTCGCACATGCACGGGCATGTTACGTCACGTGACGCGCCGTATGCAAATGTACGCATGTTGTTCTTACGTGATTGGTTGACCAGTTTAGGTCGAGATGATATGCATGTGCGACAATGTGACGTCGCTTGTGATTGGTTCTGGGGCCAG